TTTTTTACCTTAAGCAAGATCGAACAAGTTGTGATAATTTAGATGACCCTAAATTTGAGTTCACCTAGGATGAATTCTGGAGGGTTTCTCGTACTTCGCGAAACAACTTCGAAAATAAATTGACAAAATCGGACGTGAGAATACCTGCCAGAACACAATAACTTAGATTCCACAAGCAATGAACTCGATTATGGCTTAGAGGAAGAATCATCCTTACCTTCAGTTAGCAGTGATGGAAGAAGTAGAAGGAAGACATTTTGCAAACCCTAGTTTTTCAGCGAAGGAGAAAAAATGATTCTCGACAATGTAGATCCAATTATTTATCTGAGGGCATGTTGGTAAAATTGAAAAAGGAACTTAATAGTGGGATAGTGTATTCCGTGTATGAGAGATGGGATGCTGAATCCATCTTTTTGCTTGTAAAGGTACCGGGCCCAACCAAAATAAAGGGCTTTTCATTAACCAACCAAACAACTTAAACGTATGGATATAAGACTACAATGCATGATATCAAGCCCAATATGGGCAACCAAACTGAACCAATTAGACAAGAACATCTAATTAATTAATATAAGTCTAAACGAGAATTATCGGGCTAATAATACAATATAGACAATTAATTCAAATAATAGTAATAATGCCAATAAATAATGTTCGAACGGGGCGTTATAGTCTACCCACCTTAAAAGGAATTCCGTCCTCGTAATGCGAAAACAAAACAACTAGAATACAATAGAATACAAAGGGGAAATCAAAACATGAAGTTCGGATATCTCCTCCTAATATTGGCCTCAATCTCCAAAGTAGTCTCGGACTCGTCGTGTCGGCTCCACAACACCTTGACGAGACAACTGTCTGGTTCCTCTAATGACGAACCTCCAGTCTTGTACAACCACCGGTACCTCCTCATAGGTAAGGTCTCACTCGATCTGCAACTCGCTGAAGTCCACCACGTGCTCGGGATCATGCACGTATCTAAGTAGCATCGAGACATGAAACATGTCATGTACTCCCGAAAAATTTGGCTGTAAAGCTAGTCGATAAGCCAAGTCTCTGACTCGTGTAAGGATCTAAAAGGGTCCGATATAGCATGGTCGAAGCTCCCTTTTCTTCCCAAACTGAACCACACCCTCATGGGTGCAACCTTCAAAAAGACATGATCACCAACGTCATACTGATGCTACTGTCTCTTTCTGTCGGCGTAGACTTTCTGCCTCTCCTAGGCATCCTTGATCCTCTTTCGGATCTCATTAACCTATTCCGAAAGTCCTAAGAATGAACTCCGGACCCATGATCTTCCTTTCTCCGACCTCATCCCAACATAAGGGAGTCCGAACCTTTCGCCCGTGCAAAGCCTCGTGCAGTGCCATCTTGATCGAGGCGTGATAACTATTATTATAGGCCAGCTCAACCAATGGCAACGAACTCTCCCAAGTTAGGCTCGGTCCAAGACCACAGCCCTTAGAATATCCTCCAAAGTCTGGATCGTCTACTCCGACTGGCCATCTGTCTCGGGGTGATAGGTTGTGCTAAACTCCAACCTTGTTCCCATGCCTCGGTGCAAACTCTTCCAAAATTGACCTGTGAACTTTCGGTCTCGATCGGATACAATCTCCACGGGCACACCGTGGAGTCGAATAATCTCCTCGATGAAAAACTCGGCATAATCATTAGCCTTCATCATCGTCTTCACAGGCAAGAAGTGGGCAGACTTCTTCAATCAGTCCGCAATCACCCAGATAGACTCACTCCCGATTCTCGACTTCGGCAATTCCACCTTGCTGACACGAGCAACATCTCGAATCAATAGTCCTGTCTGAGAAAGTTATTCAGACTAGCTCATATTGACTTTTTCGACTATAAGTGTCGACTGCCTCATTATTTCTTCTCACACGATAATTAATTGAGCGCTAAGTCTTAAGCAAGCTCGAATCACTTTCGGTAGTGGCTGGTTGGTCCCAAGAAATTACGAGTCTCACTCGCATTCCTTGGATTCGTCCAATTATCTATCGCCTCTATCTTACCTCGAAGCTCTTCATTTCCCGTGGT